GACCTCCCCCTCCCTCCCCTCCCTTCCCTGCCCACAACTGCCTCTATCTTCTCTCCTTTTTTAAAACTCAACTTCATAATAAAACCAGAGCAACATAAACACAAACCTCAAAAAAGCCACTTTTCATTACCTGAACAACAACTATATTAAATATTTAATTTAAAATATTTCCGCTATCGATTTTCTGGTTGCGAAATTCGTAATGAAGTCACACAACAAAGCATGCCTCCCTCTAAACAAACTAGAGCCGGTGAATTAAGTGTGTGTTAACAGGCTGCTGTCTTCATGAGGGTTGTTGAATCCCAGGAGCTTGGAGAAAGAACTTCCTATGAAGCAATGGGCAAACATCAATGGCACCGTGTCTCTAAACTTGGAACCGTAAGCTGTGCTTTTAATTAGCGAAGACCAGAGAGATTATCGTGTCATTTATTCTTCTTCTTCTTCATTTTTTTTTTAAATCAACCTTTCTTTTTCAACATGTTCCCTTTCTTTGGCTGCCTCTATTTCGATGTTTATACCTTCTTCATCCCCTTTCTTATTCAGCGTTCTCTCACATATTACACATTTCTCCATTTCGCCTATTTGGGCAGCAATTTTGACTTTAAAGGAGATACAGTTAAGGAAATCATAATACGCACTGGCAAAGCAACAACAGCTTTGAAAGCCTCGATTTTTTTCTGTCTTTTTTATTTCCCCTTCCCCATCCCTTTCCCCCTCATCGTTTTTCTTCCTCTTCTTGTCTTTCTAACCATCGTTTACTTTTCCCCCGCCTATTTCTTCTCCGTTCTCACTCGTAACTCTCCTCATGTATCGCTTTTCCCCTTTTATATCGTATTTTTGTCTCTCTACCTCTTCACTATTTTCCCCCTCCCCAGATTTCTTTCTCCTTTCTCCATCGTTGTTCTCACTATATTCTATCTATATTCCAAACTATTTCTGCAACAAGCTCCATTCCATGTCCTATTTTCTCCTTCTTTCAATAACACATAAATCAAAAAAATTTTACTTTAATCAAAGTGGCAGAATTTAAGAATATAATGAAGTCAAAACTTACGAAATTAGGACACACAATAATGCCACTGGTAGCATTAAACAGGAAAAAGAAAAGACAAATTGAATGATGCCATAAAAGCAGAAAAACAATGCGAATGTTGAAATCACGCTCACCAATCCCCATATAGAAAGGTATACAGATTGAGAGGGGGAGAGGGAAGGGAAGAGGAGAAAAAGAACGAACGAGTTTTTTTGTTTCAAAGGGCATGCAGGCCTGCATGAGAAAGATGGAGACAGTGAGGTTATGCTTGGATCAGTTTAAAAAAAAAAAAAACGATCATAAAGTTAAAGAAAACAAAAAACGAAGCAAATGGCAGTACAAACTGATTAAAAAAAAAAAATTCAGCTTGCAGCTAACAAAAATACCATCTGCTACAGAGACTACGGCCGAAGAATGAACATAAACTTTTATAGCTGCATGTGTCTATTTGTTCTGCTTATAAAAACAGTATATTTCCTAATTGGCAAAGCGTAATTTTCTTCTTCAAAGACCTAATCTTCTTCTTTTTCAGCATTTCAATCCTTTGAGGTTCATTGCTGCAGATATCACCCGCCTTCTGTCATCTCTCTGGTTGGCCTTCTCTTTCAGTTGTTGATACTGAGTGTTTGTGGGTCTGCCCTTAACGTTTCAGGTTTGTTATCTGTTTAAATTCATTCGAAATTGAGGTTTAGATATCTGTTTCACGATGAGACAAAATATTACGAAGGTGAGGTATGAGGAGTTCCCGTGAAAAGTCCAATATATGGGGGGGGGGGGGGGGGGGAAGGGTTTGATAAAGTTAACGTTAGTCGGTGCTCACTACACATCTTAACACCCCTATACTAATTTGACTGTCCCAGAAACTTCTTTCACGAAATCTCGGAGTTCCCAAGATTGGGTAAATTAAAAGATATGGATCCAAATGATAGAAGGCTGGCGGCATGACATCTCTAATAACATCATAAGACACGAACTATAAAAGAAGGTAAGTTTTGATAACATATGCTGTAACTCCCGCTGCTCTCTCGTCTCGTCTTCTTTTTTCCTCCATTTACCCCGCAGGTGTTGTTTGACTCTATAACTGCATACCACCGTACGCCTTAAATAGTAAACAGATTAGTTTACTCAACGTTGCATTTTCCTTGTCTTGGAAAAGACTGCCTGGTCTAAATATCCCATTCAGTTTCACGACATGCCTCTCCCGAAAGTTAAACCACCAACGCATCAGGAAGGCGACGAAACTGAATTGAACTTGGTCTCAGTAGAGACTCCAGATACGATCACCGCAACCATCAGTCACGAGACTCTTCTGGGAAATCGTTCAGAGAGGCCAGCCTAAAACAATAAAGTACCAAACACTGGGGATAAAACGTAGCCAGATATATTTAGGATGCTATATATAACTGTTGACCGCACTGAATGGACTTTACGAATTCTTACATCTCCGTGGCGCTTTGAAGATTGTGGGTTAGATTTCCACTCTGTCCGTCGTTCGTGAGTGCGGGTGTTCTGGAAAACTCTAGGAGTCGTCAGTGGAACTAAGGGTATCGTATTTTGTGCAACTCTTAACTGTGGAAGATCCGTTCTGCCGAGAGAGGTAAGCCTTATTGGATACAAATCGACACAAAAAAGACCAAAGTCTCGTCTTTAAAAACCATTTTAGACATCATGGTTATTGTCTATATATGATATAACGATCGAGAGTTATAGAAGCTAGTATAAATTATTCTCTCTCTCCCCGAGCATAGTTTGAAAGAAAAAAAAATCTTTATCATTTAGAATATGCATAGTATGTGTTAATCTTCTAATGATAATTGTAGAATACTGGCTGTGGTGCAGTGCTCCTGAGATTAGTCTCTTAGTCATCGGCGACAGGGTCGCGCCCACTGGCTGGCAGGTAGAAGACTTAGTCATCGGCGACAGGGTCGCGTCCACTGGCTGGCAGGTAAAAGACTTAGTCATCGGCGACAGGGTCTCGCCCACTGGCTGGCAGGTAAAAGACTTAGTCATCGGCGACAGCGTCGTGCTCAGTGGCTGGCAGGTAAAAGACTTAGTCATCGGCGACAGCGTCGTGCTCAGTGGCTGGCAGGTAAAAGACTTAGTCATCGGCGACAGCGTCGTGCTCACTGGCTGGCAGGTAAAAGACTTAGTCATCGGCGACAGGGTCGTGCTCAGTGGGTGGCAGGTAAAAGACTTAGTCATCGGCGACAGCGTCGTGCTCAGTGGCTGGCAGGTAAAGACTTAGTCATCGGCGACAGCGTCGTGCTCACTGGCTGGCAGGTAAAAGACTTAGTCATCGGCGACAGCGTCGTGCTCAGTGGCTGGCAGGTAAAAGACTTAGTCATCGGCGACAGCGTCGTGCTCAGTGGCTGGCAGGTAAAAGACTTAGTCATCGGCGACAGAGACGCGTCCACTGGCTGGCAGGTAAAAGACTTAGTCATCGGCGACAGCGTCGTGCTCAGTGGCTGGCAGGTAAAAGACTTAGTCATCGGCGACAGCGTCGTGCTCAGTGGCTGGCAGGTAAAAGACTTAGTCATCGGCGACAGAGACGCGTCCACTGGCTGGCAGGTAGAAGACTTAGTCATCGGTCGGGACTAATATTTTGGTCTGTCTCTTTTGATCGCATCAAGACTGCAGGAGTCCTTTTCAGGGCTACTTGGTAGCGAGCTACTTTAAGTCATCGTAAATGGCCAAAATAGCCTGTCATAATTATAATTGAAAGATCTTCCTTCGAGCATGCTGGTTGAACGTGACAATTCCTCCCCCCCCCCTTCCTCCCCCAAATCCCCTTTCAAAATTGGATCGGATTGCCTCTTACCGTGAAATAAAGTGAAGAGAGAGACAGCTGGTTTCAATCGAAATAAAGAGAAGTCACTGAAGCAATCAACACTCAGTATCAGAAAGTTTTGCGATAGAAAGTCAAAGTGTAACCCCTACATCAAAAAAGTACACTTACGGAACTTATAAATAAAGGTGGCCAGGTTTATTCTGTAGTATCTGATCGAATGTAAAAATTAGTGTTGTTCGTCCATCACGAGTGATGAAGGCCACTTTTCATCCAAAGTAGCAATGATCAATGATGGTAAGTACTAAGGTGGCTGATTAGTCCAATATGAGCCCAAAAAGTTCTTGAGCAGTTTGGAAAACAGGTGGAAGCCGCAGTAAGTGTGGGATTAGCGATATAGTTCCTTCTAGTCTACCTTTATAAAAAAAAAATCACCTTATACAACGCATTGGGAATAGCAGACAGAGCCTTGCATCCCCCTACCCTGTCCTCTCCCCCATCATCCACCCCCATCCCCTTTCCCATGCTCCTACCCATCCCCTCCCCTATGCTCCACCGTATCCCCTCCCCATGCTCCCACCCATCCCCTCCCCTCCCCATGCTCTCACCCATCCCCTCCCAATCTCCATCCTCAATCTCCTTCCCATCCCTACATCCCATGCTCCTCCACCATTTCAAGGGGGGGGGGGCGCGTCATGTGATGGTTGGCTTTCGTGGGAGCAGAGCCACGTCATGCGCTGAATAGGATTGAACGAGTCATGTTTTGCAATTAATAAAATCAATTGATAAGTCAATACCTACAGTTCCTACCTTTGCCAGCTAATTCACCCCGGTACATAGAAACTCACTGTACATACATTACCGCTCATCCTGGCACTCATTGCTTCGCCGACAAGCGGAGGCATACATGGCAACATCATGAACAATAGCAGTTAGAATATAAATAAAGCAGAGCTGAACTGTGAATCCACCAACCGATGAAGCCCAGTTCCCAACCCGCTCTGAGCATGAACATTCCAGACCAAGATGGGCCTTATCAGCCTTCCACACATAAACTTGATGCAACGTTGCATTATAAAGGACTGGTCGTCATCATTTGTGACAAACGAACAAGAACAAAGGCATTCATTCGTACAGCTATAAGTGATACAGTGACAACGTTACAGACCGCTGAAGACTTACCTTTGCCACGAAGACTCCGATGATTGCTGTTGCCAGTTCTGGAGCGGAGCTGCCGGCTGCCATAAAGGTGGCACCTGCTACATCAGTCTGAAGATGCAATACTGAAATTTGACAATAATTCAGACATTACAATGATGATCCATGTTTTATTCTTCTTTTTCTTCTTTGCGTTCACCGGCTGTAAACTCCGAGGGAAAGTTCTGGTTGTTCGTCATTTCTGGTCTTTAGTATTGTTTCAGAACTTGAGTTTTGCGTTATAATGAATTATAATCTGGCTTATTCAAATACAAAACATGGAGTACATCCTAGTTAAAACTACATGGTAACGGGGGCGTTTGCTTAAATGGTGGTCATTTTCATTTATAGATTAAATTGTTTACCTGTTTTGTGTGTGGTTACGACTGACAAGATTTCAATCACTTTTATGTTTCAGTACGCACTGCCACTTAATTTGTTTAAAAAGTACAGTGTTATACGTGGTCTGAACTAAATCTATGTGAGAGTTAAGGGTAGAGGTTGAGAGAAAATAACAAAAATTGAGTATTGTTCAGGAACTTAGTTGCTGGAAAAACCTATCTAACATTAAATAAATCAATAAATGAAAATATAGAAAAAATGTTTCTTATATTACAATAATTCACGACAATGGCTATATTTTGCTTTAAAAAAATGTGTTTAGTTTCATAATTTATACATAAAAAAATAGTTAACATTTTCAGTGCATTTGTGTGTGTGTGCATGCGTTCTTGCGTGTATAGGTGGGTTAATTGTTTCAAAGGATGGGTTAAAGGCAGACAGCCTATCATAGCAAAGTAACATAGAGCAACACAGAAACAGTCAGTTCGATAATCGTTAGGCAGACGGTCAAATCAACTGACAGGGTATCGTTGAAACAGTTTATAACACCATATTATTATAGAAAACAAAAGTAAGCTGAAATTATATTTGATAGTTCAAATCTATGGCTCTCAGCCTTTCTAATGCCGCGATCCTTTAGTACAGTTTCCTCATGTTGTGGCGACTCCCAAACAATTATTTTGCTTCATAACTTCAATAAATATTTTTTTCCAAATGGACTTGGGCGACCCTTTGAAAGGGTCGCTCGAACCCTCCCTCCCCCCTTTTTCACACCCCCCCCCCTTCCGGTTTGGAACCGCTGGTGTAAATGGATGTCACGAAGTCTGGCATTCGTCCGCCCAGAACCACAAACTGTTTACAGGAAACGAACACAGTTTTTGGTCAGTGCTAAACCTTAACTTGCTTTTTTTTTTTTCTACAAGAATGTAAGCGGAAAGACAACACATAAACCGTGCAGTCAACAGTCTAGTGAGGACTGTAATGGAAATTGCTTCACCGATTGATGCTACAATAAACCAAAATAATGGTGGTATGTCAGATCGCGTGACTTATATTTGGATCGCTTTCGCGTTGATAGAAATTTGCTTTCAACAGGTGTATTGTTTTTTTGTTTTTTTTTAGTTTAATCAGCAGATCCGGTAAAAACTTCTTTCTGTGTAGACACACAATAAATGTAAGTAAAGGACCCTTTTCCACGCCTGCAGGCCAATTTGGCATACAGGGTTAGACATTTTTTTTTTAAACATCAATCGGCACTTGGTGGGTGATGTGGTGAGCACTACGCCGGCCGCCTTTACTTTCCATGACTGCACCTGGTACCCTCTCAAGGCTGGGTCGACCTGGGAGCAAAGGTCACTCAAAAAAAAAGTCTGGTTCCTTCAGCAGCCGAACCCACGACCTTTCGATCTTCGTATTCATAGTAATTCATAATTATTATCATGTATTATTATCGTCCTGTTCTGTCGTTTAGACCTTACAGAGGGCTGCAGTAGATTCCTCTATTCCATTCAGTCATTTCGAAATGTATTTGAAATTCAGTCTGGCTCATATTCTCTCTGTCATCAACTTTCATACTAGTGTTTCGTTTGGAGAGCATACTATGGGTGCTAGCATGTATAAGCTCTAGTAGACAGCCTTACCTCACAAGCTTTGACAAAGTCAATAACCACGAATGGTAGGTCAAATGTCCAAAAGGCGAAGCTGCCATGTCGTCTGCCTCGATGTCCCCTTTTTCCAAACTGTATTTTTGCCTTTTCTTTCCGAAAACTACCAGATCATTTTATTTCATATCAGATCGACCTTGAGCCCAACCAGGGTCCCCGACACAGATAAAACATTCGGAGCTCAGCTCCCTTATAAATTGTCCAGGAGAGGGGGTCATTAAAGGGCATACGCCTTGTTAAAGTACTTAAAATAATAATATGCTAAATGACAGATAGATACAATCGTATATTTGAAAAGAAAACAGAAGTTAAGCGCCCCTAAGACTTTACAAAATAAAAACAATTTTGAGGTGCAGGGTCGGACTCCAAGTGCTTTGTAAAATCCGCTTTGTTGATTGGAATCTGTACCCACCAGGCTGACAGATAAACATGTAAGCCCACTGTCCTACATCGTCTCCCAGTCAACAAGTGGGGACATTGCTAAAACACACAGATCTTGATCGATCCACGCTATGGATTCTCTTGACTGCGAACCCACAATCTATACACGGGCGTTTTATGGCGGTTAGTTTGTCTAAGCGCTGACAGACAGACCTTACTGGTTATGATGGAGTCAATAATCACCACTAACCATCTTATTCTTCTCTTCCTCAAGTTACCTGATAGAAGTGTTTAGGGGCATGGGGGAGTAGGATGGGAGAGGGAATAGGGAAGGAGGATGGGGAGAAGCATGAGAAGTGGAGGGGCATAGGGAGGGGAGGGGGGAAAAGAGGGAAAAGAGGAGGGGGCATAGAGGAGAGGCATGGAGGAGGAGGAATGGGGAGGAGTGGCGGAGGAGGATGGGGGCATGGGGTGGAACGGGAGGAGGATGGGGAGGGAAGGGGAAAGGGGGTGGGGGAGGAGGATGGGGAGGGATATTGGAAGTGGGGGAAGAGGAGGAGGCATGGAGAAGGGGGAGGAGAATGGGAGAGAGGAAATGGGAGGAGGAGGAGAAGAGACATTTGGAGGGGGATGAGTAGGAGGGGGAGCATGGAGGGGGGCATGGGGGGAGTGGTGGGAAGGGTGTGGGAGGGGCATGAGGAAGGTTAGAGGCGCATGGGGAAGGGACAGGGGACAGATTTAGGAGGGGAGGGGAATGAAAATGAAGGAGAAGGATGGGAGAGGGGAGGAGAATGGGGGAGGCGGAGGAAGAGGGGGAGGGGATGCAAAGTTCTGTCTGCTCTTTCCAATGCGTTGTATAAGTTGATCGTTTGTTAAGGCTGTCTTTGATGCCACTGGTCCACTTTACGTTGTCTTCTTATTGCTCTGTGTTCCGTATATGATTTTTTTTTTTTTTTTTTAGAGTCGCTTTCTGTGGCAGTTAGAACCAGAGCATTCTCTTTGGTTGGCAAACCATTATATCTGTTCATCTTTAATGAGCTTATCACTTTTTTAAATCCTAGTTTTTAAACACTGTTTTTTTCCCCGATTTATTTATTTTAAATTTTCTAATTACTCTTGCTGCGCATTATAAACATAGACATCTCATATGTTATGATTTGGCGCCCTTTAGCTGTAGAAATGGTCCATATTTGGATGGAAGCATAAGGTTGGCCGTAAAAAGTTAATGGTGTGTTAAAATGTCCCACTACATTGACTTTTCTGACCATGCCCTCAAGCTGAATTCTTTTACCTTCATCTATTTTTCTGTTTGTTTCCTAACAAAAGAAAAGAATAACCAACTCAACCAGAAAGCTCCCCAGAATCAGAGTACTTTTACTTTGCAGAGTCATGATTAAAGTTAGTCGAGGTTTCGCCCTCACTGTCAGGTAGTCTCCCTATAACCGCTCATTTTCCGTGCCTGCAGACTGAAATCTGACAAAATGTACTTCACTGACACTTATGAAAAAAAAAAAAAAAAAAAATAGCAGTCCCAGCAACATCTTGAAAGTAATAGCATGAGGCATCTGACATGCCAACACCAACAGTCTCCCACCAGAACTGCAGTCCACTGTTAATGCAAGCAGTCGATCATAAAAGCCGAACATAATCGGCCAACCACCATTTTTAGTGTAGTTTATGACAAACAAAAAGCTCCATGGACACAACAGAAGAAATGTGGAAATTGCACCAGCAAGCAGCAGTTAGAAACAATAACTTCTAAAAAAAAAAAAATTAGCGGCCATCCGGTCTATCCACCACACTGGAACGAAAGTCTAAAGATAGATAATATATACAGTGTATATAAGAGAATAAACGTATCAAGGTAGAAAGTTTCGACTGGCTAATATAAAGAGTGCAAACCTGTCAATTATACACAGGTTAAACAATTCAGCGTCTTTGGTATTGTTTTCTTCTCATACTGCAATACATTTTATGTCTGTTTTTTTTTTCTTTCTTAAAGTCTTATCTTGAAAGAAGAAAAAAAATCAGCTTTCTGTGTTTCCCTTCCCACAGACCCTGTATTTTATTAGAAAAAAAAATGCAACTAATGCATCAATCGCTTTCTTCAAAAACCTAACTCGATTTACGGTGTGCAATTGCAATAAACATTCTTTGAATTATGCGTCAATTTTTAGGCTTGTGGCTGCAATGGATAACTTGAGAGAGAGAGAGAGAGAGAGAGAGAGAGAGAGAGAGAGAGAGAGAGAGAGAGAGAGAGAGAGAGAGAGAGAGAGAGAGAGAGAGAATGGGGAGGGGGAAAGCTGAGGCAGTCAATGAGAAAACAATATCCTTGCATTCACTGAATTTCCAAATAGAGAACAAATTTGAATTTCATTAACGAATTTCACACTTGAATACCTCATGGATATTTTCAAACAGAAAATTGGATTGAGTTAACTGTTCTCTTACAACGAGAGGCTATCAGTTTTGTCTGGTTTGCTGGTTTTTTTTTTTACCTTTTATTCTTCTTTCAAACATTAGGACGTAAAGACAAACGTAGATATTTCATTTAAGTATCTATGTTACATGTAAAAATTATTTGGGAACCTCCGAGGGCAGTGATTTACATCTTGAATAAATTCAAAAAAAAAATATTGACTGTAGCTGACAGTTAACTGGAGAATAAATCTCACGTGCCATCACAGATCAAGGGCGCC